ATTTTATTGCCAGAGATGAAAAAAGGGACCTAAAAAAGTGTTTCAGTGCAGTTTTTTAATTGAATTGTATGCCTGCACACAGTTTAATCTTTATAGTGGTCATCTTCATTCATTGTTAAAAGAACATTAATTTGTTTTTTAAACTAGGAAAAAAAAAATCGTTTTAGCAGTAGCTACAGCTTAAAATGGAAAGCAAGACAAGACTATCCTGCACAATAAATCTGGAATAGTGCCTCAAACTATAATGAAATATCAATGTTAATGCAGTAAAGCAGTATTTGTTTCTTTTATTGTTTTAACGCTGCTACAGGAAAAAACTCATCATCTTCAAAAACTAGTTTTGCTGTATTTTCAATGTATTTTACTCATCAAAAGTGTTACTATACAGAAAGAACAAAAGATGCATCTATCAGTGATCAGTCTAAAGAAATTTTAAAAATCAAGACCTCCAATCATGCTTTCCTTGATAGATTCGCTTCCATGGTAGCCTAAAACCTCATGACAGCTCTCTATTCAGAAGCACCAAAGATGTGTTTTGTAAATGCAATGTAAATAATAGTAATAATAATAGTAATAGCAATAATAGTAATAATAATAATAATATAATTTAAATAAATAATATTTAAATAAAATGTAAGTAAAAATTAAAATGTTTTATGTGGCAACCACCTTCCATAATCACCTGGGAGCTACTGAAACACAAATAAGCTTAGCCACCATTTTTTCTCTCCAGTTTGTTCCAATGCACCAATGGCTAAGAAGCAGTGCAAAGCAACCTCATTTTCTAGTTTCTATCACACTTTGTTTTCTTGAATATTCAACTGAAAACACTGAGGAGCAAGGAATTAATTTCTAGTTTTAAATACACCTATAAGCATCTCAAGGAGTATTCAAACAACAAATGAAAAAAAGAACAGCAGAAACTTATACTAAAATAGCTCATTTGAAAAAATACCATTGTATTTTACTACAGGTACAACTCCAAAACCCTTGTCAAAGAAACAACCTTGAATAAAATAAAGCTGGTTTTATTCAAGAATAATGAGTGTTTCTGATAATTGTAATATTCCATGTTAAAAATCTTCCCTCCTTCTGGAAATGACTATTAAAAATATTACACAAATTACCATCACTCACCTCTCCTGTCATTTCTTCCTGCATTTGTGGATTTGTCAGAAGGGCAAGGGCAACGTCCTTCACATTTCACTGAAATTTGTTTTCCTGAGACACAGGCTTGATAGTCTAATTTGCACTGTAAGGAGACAAAATGACTCATTAATATAAACATCTCCTATGTCAAAAAATTCTAGTTCTAAGAAATTTGAAGCAATCTTTCATGAAGTGCTTAAATCTTTGCATACAGGTGCAAAGGAAAATCTTCTGCAGAATATGCTACTTTTGTAAAAAAAATTAGATTAAAGAAAGGTACAAAGTTTTGGTTCCTGGCTTGGCTACCACTTCAGATGCCACTCAAGCATGAAGGCACTTGTGGTGTGAGACTGATTGAATATCCATGCTAAATGGAAGTAGACTGCATTGGTTTTATCTGTATTCTGTGAGCAAATAAACACAGCAACAACATTCATTATTGATAGGAAGCAATAAACAGTCAATTTTTATAGAATTTATCACTGAATTTCTATCTTTAGGATGACAGTATCCTGGTAAAAAGCATTAATGAATAAAATGAAAAGCTCTGCCTAATGTAATTCTGCATAGTGGCTGTCTTTTCTGATACAGAAAGAGATTCATTTGTGAGGTTCTGTCTGTGTACTTACATCTCCAATCCAGAAACCACATAAAAGCTAATTATATCTGAAAAAAAAAATTGTTTTAGGCATATAAAAATAAAGTAGTTAAAAACCACATACAGAGAAAATAATATCATTGTAAACCCTCACTCTTATGGAAAAGCTGAACTTTTTTCCCAATAAACAGCTCTTTGCATAGAGATCTTTCTCTGGGATGTTTTGTCAATGTATTATCAGGAAAAACATAAAAAAACAAGGTGGGTGAAGCATCTACTAAGATGCCTTTTCCAAAAGTGAAAGAAGAAAGATTGTTATGGAGAACACTTCATCCTTGAACAAAAGATGCCAAACGTCTCATTAAATAGGTAAAGGACACAGAAGCATGAGTCAGAAAACCAGTTCAAGTCACAAATGAAAATATGAAGCGTTTCCTATGCATCACAACACTTCAGAAAAATCTCACCAGAATTTGTCTCTTTTATTCCCTGAGTCATATTTTGTTGGGGTATATAACTTCACTGTAATGTAGTTCCATTATATGATTTTCAAGATTTCCAGAGAATGCTAAAGTCAAAGTTTCTCTCTCTCCTAAAAATATGTAAGGGCTGGGAGCACTGTAGCTCTGTAAGAATCAAGGTGGCTCCTGAAAGACTGCACTTGATGTTCCCACTAGTATGCAGATGTAAGCACTGTGAATTTACAGAACATCAACTTTTTAAGCTGTCAGACTTCCAGTCTTGCCATACTCTCATGTAGTTCTATATCTTGCATAACCTGAAGTACATCGCTGTATCAAAATAGTGTATTTTTGCACCACTGCCAGTAGTAAAAAGAGAGAAATTATTACCTCATATTTTGTGTACTTAAAGTAATTACTGTCAAATAAGTCATTATTGTACTTCAGTTTTGAATGTGTTATCTTTTGCCAAAAAGGCATGGTTAAAGGAAAATGACACAAACAGAACCTTTTAATTCTCAAGAAAAACCCTCCAACATAACTGTTCCAATTGCAAGTTATATAGCACTAATAGCTCTTAAAGGACTGGAAAATGGAAGCAAAGCAAACACCTGCCCATGCTGATATTGAAATAACCAAATACCTTTTCTATCTCAATTTTCCTGGCCCTACAGGAAAGTGCTTGCAGCACTATGATGCCCACCAGCCCTCTCTCCAGAAAGTGTATGACCTAATTTATATTTTAATGCTCAAACCAATATTTGGAGTTTGTGGAATGGATTATCACTCAAATTTAATATTTGTCTCTGTAAAAAGAGATGTCTTTCCATTTTTAATATCTGAGAGCTTTTATTATTCAAATTTGGTAGCATAAGGATTCAAACCTACAGATAGGTGTGCTTTAGGCTTTGATTACTCTACTTGGTGAGACCACCATCTAATATTTGACATATAAACCCATTCCAGGTTGGATTTACTGAGAAACAGAGTATGAAGAGTGAAGCACAAAGATGGCAATACATTTATTCAATTTCTGAAGATTTCTTTAATCCTTTTTTTGAGAGGTTATATTTTTTCAGACTCCAATGCTCCTAACTTTGATTTACTTGAACATTGCTCAAGAGACTAGTGAATACTTCATAGGTGCTTCAGCTAGCATCATGAGTTCCAAGTTTAGTCTTTGATTTATTTTTCTTTCAAGTTGTCTACTCAGTCCTATTTGCAAAGAACACTATCCTTTTTAAACTCTAAAAAAACTTAATGCTCAACACCTGGCACAGGCAGAGATACATGAGATCCTGAGTGCAAGGTCAGCACACAACACTTCCAAACCACTACCTGGAATAGAACTCTGGTTCAAACCTCTTGACATCATTCCCCAGATTAAAAATGCACTAGGATACTGTAAAGATAGCTCAATTACATAAAGATGAGTAAAACTTCCTTCAGTGCTACTCTTAAACTGGTAGAAGAGCAAGTAACATACTTGAAAAACTCCACAGAAAAAGAAATCACTGACATTCGGTGTATGAGGCCACAATGAGAAACAGTAGTCAAAAAGGAGAGGTGGTGTGAAAGGGTTCATGCCAGGGTAGTAACTCAAAGAGCTGCCCGATTTCCTAACCAGATCTCTCTCCATGACTTTTCAATGGTTTTGGCAATCTGAAGAATTAACAGGAAGCTGGCAAATGCTGACCCAGTCCCACCTGCATGCCTGGTAAAATTAGGAAGATTATTCTGAGATTTGCAGGAAGACATATGAAGGACAATGCAATCATTGGTCACAGTCAGGACAGCTTAATGAGGATGAACTTTAATGAGGATGCCCAACTTGACAATTTCCTTTTACAATGAAGTTACCCACCTAGCTGACCAAGGGAAGCCAGCTGATATAATCTTTTTGGATTTCAGTAATGTTTTCAATACTGTCTCTCACAGTGCCTTTCTGGACAAAATGGCCAGCAGACAGCAGGATAAACCCATCACATGATGAGTGAGCACCTGGCTCATGGGTTGGACACAGAACACCGTGGGGTAAATGGGATGAAGTGAGGCTGGTGACCCATTACTACTGGGGTTCCACACAGCTCCACTGTAGGGCCAGTGCTCTTCAAGGTCCTCATAAACAACTTGGATGCAGGACTCCAAAGTAGATGAAGTCTGCCAATGATATTTGACTGGGAGGAGCTGTTGACTGCCTCCAAGGCTGACGTGCTGCAGAGAGACCTGGACAAGTAAGAGAGGTGGGAAATCACCAACTGCATTAAAGTCAATAAAGAAAAGTACCAGATTCTGCACCTAGAATGGGACAACCCTGGATGTACAGAAGAACTGTGAAATGAATGAGATGCTGGAAAGCAGTGCCATGGAAAGGAAACCAGCCAGGAGAGCCAGCTGTGTCCTGAGGGGCATCAGGCACAGCATCACCAGGCAAGGGGGAGGATTGTCCCACTCTGCTCTGCTCTGCCACAACATAAAAAAGATATTAAGCTATTAGAGAGCCACTAAAGGAGAGCTGCAAAGATGGTGGAGAGCCTTGAGGGAAAGCTGTATGAGGAGTGACTGAGGTCACTTGGTCTTTTCAGACTGAAGGAAACTGAGAGGAGACCTCATTGCAGTCTGCAGCTTCCTCATGAGGGAAAAATGATGGGCATGCACTGTTCTCTCTTCTGTGGTGACCAGTGACAAGTGGTCACAGCACCAAGCCTGACAGAGCTCAAAGCTCTCAGGCACGTGGTGTGATTCTTGGGGATGTCTTGTGCAGGCCAGGAGTTAGACACAAGGATTCTTGTGGGTCCCTGCCGACTTAGGTTGGAATGATTCTAGGGGGTTGGAAGATAAGCTAAAGAATATCCTATTAAACATGGAAGAGTTTTAGAAGACAGAAATATAATAGAAAGCCATAATATTAAAATAGGCTAAAATACAACGTAATTCAATACAGAAAATGCCATGGTCTACTGTTACATAGACAAAATAAGCAAGGTATTAACAACAAGCTGGAGCAACTGGCTAGACATCCATTATAAAGGGAAAATAGAAGTCTAGTGATCATTAAGAACAACTGAGTGGTGTTTTATATATTACCAGGATATATAAATGCTAGTGCAACCTACAAAATATATAAGATACTTTCACAAAGCTGTGGCAGCACTGTACAGCTTGTGACAAGGTTTCAAACAAGACAGGATTTAATTGAAAAAGGAGTAACAGGAATAATGAGAAACCTAGAAAATAGTCACCAAAAAGAGACTGAAGGACGGGGTCTTAAGACAATTCATGTAACAGCTGTCAAAAAGGCAAAAGACACCTGAAAGGTACCTGAAAAGAATACCACAATGAATGTTACAAGAAATAATTGTCTTAAATTGCTGCAGAGAAGTAATAAATTAGATACTAGGTAGACTTTTCAAGAAGGGTAGTGACTTCTTAAATCGCTGGAGAAGCTTTTTAATCTTCGTAATTGTCTTTACAACCAGGCTTAGATAAATCTGTCAGGAATTACACCTGTGTAGCTTATCTTGCTTTTTGAACATGGATGGATCAGATGGCATCAAGCTTATTCAGTTGGGAAGTACAGACTTGCTCCAGGAATGAACCAGTGTCAAGAGATTATTGCTTGCATAAATCCTGTTCATTTACTGAAGAGTTTGAAAGATGTGTAATGAATGAACTAGGGAGATGGCAAAAAAGGAAAGAAAAGTAATGCTTGTACTGGTCTGTTCATCCTAGGTAATTTTAGCAATATTCTGTTTGGTACTGAGTGTATTTGTGCTCTCCTGAGCTCCTGAAAACCTGACATATGATTTGAGAATATGGTAAATATTTTCAGATAAATTAAAACAAAAATTAGTTGAATATATAAATGCTTTGCAATGTGAAATATGAACAAAAAATCCTTAAATTGGATATCCACATCTCACATATAATTTATTTGCTTTCATCTGCAGAACCATCATCTATCTGTAAAAAGATATATCACACAGAGGGACAGTGTGTGAGACAGCTGTAAATTAGTTGCTATTTGCAGGCTTTTCAAAATGT